ATAAAAAGGCAATCTATGGAGATTACGAGTCAAAATATTTGGTACTAAAAGTAGAAGAGCTAATTACAATGAAAAAATCAGCACGTGGGTTTCTAATCAGTCACAGACTTGCCTGGAGCATATTAAAAATCACATCATACAAGCCCTAAGCAGTTTCTTATTAATCTAGTCTCTATGCCAATACAGCCAAATGGGAAACACAATCTTGGGAATATGAAGGCCAATGTTATTCTATTAACCTTATATGTTATCCTATTTACTTTCCTGTCTTTAATGAATAAATTAAAATGTCCTCTCATTCTCTAATTGCTGCATAGTTGGAGTATGACAATGTACGGATTTTATTCACCTATATTCCACAGCCTTAACTGCCCAAACTCTGTCATTTTGTGGGGGGTTTCAATGAAAGGCAATGAAAGATAAACTGTTTACATTAAGAGACTCTATCAAAGTTATTTTGCACCTGGTTTCATCCTAATCCATCTGCTGTTTCTCTGGCTTTGACAGGCTGACCTCTCTTGCTATGTATGCCATGTTGATGTCATTGCTGAAGGGGGCCTTCCCCAGCCTTTCTGCTGATAACAAAGTAAATGGAAATACAGAGAAACCCCGGGGAGGTAACAACTTGTTCAGCATGATGAGGGAGAACTGTAGCTAAAACAAGAGGACCGATTACAGCAGGGAAGAGTGTCTGTTGTCACAACGAATGCGTTCGCGACAGCACATCAGCTTCCCAAGAGCCGCCTGAGAGCAGGAGCAAAATGCATTGCATTGTTTTCATTAGCAAACTTTAAATGTGAACATGGGCTTGAGTTTCAGCTGACTACTGTGTTTCGAAAGTGTAAGGGGCATCCCAGGTATAAGGAACACATCCCCCCAAAGTGGCCAGAATGTTCAAGACTTCTGCTACCATAGAGTTCAGCTCATCTGCAATATGATCTCAGAATGACCTGGCCAGGGAGCTGTCCCAGCAATAATAAAAACAAACAAGCAAAACTAGATCATATATAAAATCCAAATCAAGAACCTGGGTTAAAAACAAGCTACGTGTGTGTGAGGTAATGAGCAATCTTTAGTGAAAAAATACAATTAAGAAGTGGAGAGAAGACACAATTGTTCTGTATATGTTAACATGTGTGAGGTGCAGACAAAGAAAAAAAGATCTGGTTAAATAAAATGAGGAACAAGGGGGCTACTTGCAACGACATATCCAGACACAACTCATTAGAATGCCTTTGTGCTCAAAGCAAATCTGAATTGTTCTTCTCTGTTTTTAAAGCACCAATACCACTCTAAGGTCTGGCTGGGCTCAAGAGTTGAGCCTAGTTCCTGACCGAACATTTCCCATCACATTACTCACTTTCTATACTTCCTATGGAGCTAAATGAAGTCCTCTAACATTTCCATCTAATTCACATTAATGACAAGATGGTATTAATAATTAAAATGCTCTGAAGGTGGTTTTGAACAATACCCATTTCTTTACAGCCTTTGTAATTCTAAAGTCTGCTGCTTCTGATCCCAGTCTGAGATGGCCAGGGCCTGAGAGCCCAGGAACCCCCAGACCATCTTGTTGGTGGAGTATGATGACGCACAGCCAGAGCTGAGCATATCCAACATCAAGATCATCAGTCAGTGAAATGTTAAGTGGACGTTTACCTGGTTCTGCAGATATATGCTGGAGGGAGCTCTGGAGTTTGGCCACCACACATTCTAGAAGTCTTTGGAATAGGTCAAATTGTGGATAGCTTAAAACTTTAAAGACAGCAATTTTAATAAACCCGTCAATACAATTTCTTTGTTAAGAAAACATTTGAGACTGATTAGGCTGCTTATATCGAAAGAGAAGTGCAAGGTCTCTATCTTTACATCTTTCATTGAACTGCCAGCACAACATGAATAACTGCTCCTTAGCTGTAAATGAAAATTGATTCCAGGTTTAACCCCTCATTTTCAGGGGTCCTCTAAGTCCCAAGAAGCACACAAAGACACATTTGACCCAAAGGAAAACTGCAGGTGCAGTGGGACGAGGTGAGGGCACGCAGAGGACCCCACACATATGCACTCTGCAGAAGCCCGGACGACTGTGACATACACCCTATCCAAATGCCAGTGGCCACACCACGGCCTCACTGCCTGCCCCAGAGGCCTGGCTGGCAAATGGCCATTCAGTAAGCGTGGTGTGGAGGACCAGGCTGGGGTTTTAGATCTGTGATGCCCAGAGCAGCAATTGCATTAGTGATAGCCAGCTTTGAAAAATGGAACACATTGCAATACGGATATTTATGCAGATGCTAAGTACAGAACACTGTATCCCATGTGAACCCTGTTCTGAAACATTCCAATGTCCAAGGTCGACTTCAAGGATTATTTCCCAAACCGGGGAAGGTCCAAGAGAAAGCCATAATGAGTATAGCATCACAGCATGCCCTGTCTTTCTCCAGGGCAGAGGGAGAGAAAGAAAGAAGTATAATGAAAAGGTGATGACTCAGCTGTCCACCTGTGTCAGATTCCGAAGAGAAACTCTTGTTTAGAGCCATGTGATTTTCCTGGAAGAGACTTGGAGCATTGTCATTGGCAACCTGGTCTTTTCTTCCTGTGACTTCTGATTTGAAACTTGGCAGAGGTCAGAGGGGAGGAAAGGTCATTCACATCCAGTGAATGCCTTTGGACGGGGACAGTTAGGACGTTCAGTCCTGTTCCTAGCAGATCGCTATAGACACCAAAGCCAAAATGAAGGGCAAGGTCTAGGTACCAATGGTTCCTAAAGAGGGGACTTCCAATCAGAGTTTAAGAGAGCCACGAGGAGGGCTTATCTGTAAATGTTTATAAGCTCACAGCTACTTCTTTCTTCCAGGGCCCAGCAAGAGGGGATAAGTTGTCCTTCTGCCTTAACTTGGATCTCCCAGTTCAATCTCCGCTTCAGATGAGAAGCTCAGTTGATGAAAGCATGACTGGGCTAAGAGCGACACACCATGGAGAGCAGCCAATGCACCAACCAGGATTATCTGATGGTCCCAAGACTGACACGGAGTTACCGAACACACACCCTAAGAACCCAGATGACTGGGGCCAGTGGACCCACAAATGCCACTCCTTCAGGTAAATACAGAATAAAACAACTTGAGAAGCTGAAAAAACAGAGCATGTTTATTTAATCACATAGAGAAGAAGTCAATGTGCAAAATCTATTTTCAGTTATTGTTGATTATTGCTTTTTAAACATTTCCATTAAAAAGTAATGTCACATCTGTCAAAATCAATGATCAAGGTTTTTTGGCTTTTTTTACCAACGCCGTGCTCATCCCTGGCATAGTAAATGCAGAAAGCAGGAATAACAGACCCTGGAATTTCAGTATGCATTTTGCATCAGCTCTGAAGCCCATGGCTCACATAGGAGATGGACTGCTTACATCCAGGAAGGGACAGCAAGCCCCTGGGAGATGATGGGGGCTTGATCTTGACAAGGCCCCACCGTGCAAAGATGCAACTGTTACATATTAACAAAAATGCAAGTGGAAAAAGGAGAAGAAAGTAAGAGTGAGTCAGGGGTTGGCCACATAACATTGCAAATGACCTCAATTTTATTGTATTGTGTATTTTTTTTTTCAATTTTTTTCAATTTTAAAATTATACCAAGTTTTGGGGCTTCCAATATGGTGAACAACTATGTAGGAGAATGGAGTAGGTGAGCCCTGAGAGTTTTTCCTAAGCTTTTCTTTGCTGACGACTCATAACACATTTAGTGAATATGGAATTCTGTATTTTTTAAAAGATTTTATGTATTCATTTAAGAGGGGAGAGAGAGCACAAGCTCGGGGGTGGGGGATGGTAAGGAGCAGAAGGAGAAGCAGAGTCCCTGCTGAGCAGGGAAAACAGGGAACCCAAAACAGGGCTCGATCCCAGGACCCTGAGCGGAGGGCAGACACTTAATGACTGAGCCACCCAGGCGCCCCTGGAATTCTGCATTTGATAATGATCTTGGCATACCAGTGCATGAGCATTCCTTAAAACAGTCTGCTTTCAGTTTTCTAATGCAGTGGACTCCACCGTAAAAGAACCTGGTCAGGTACTGGCTTTTAATAAAAGGCACTCCTTGGGTACCTGAGTGGTTCAGTCAGTTAAGCAACTACCTTCAGCTCAGGTCTGCTTCTCCCTCTGACCTTCTTTCCTTTCATGCTCTCTCTCTCTCTCAAATAAATAAAGTCTTAAAAAAATTTAAAAGCAAAGGCACTCCTTCTGTGATCCTCCCCCAAGGTTACAAACATATCCTTTAGGAACCTACATGTGAGGTAGTTGTGTCACAGAGAAAGCGCACACACACCACCCAGAGCACACACTACACTGCCATTCTCACGGTTCAGAAACCACCCCTTGGCCTTTTCCAACCAACAGGTCCAGTCTCACTGGAAATGCTGAAAACACATTTCCGTCATCTTGTTTCGTGGGAAGTGTTGGCAACACTTATAATGCAGAGTAGAAGAAGAAGGTGTAGTGGCAAGTTTTTGCCAACCGTCCTTGTGCCTGCAGTCCCGAGCATGCCACGGGATGCTGGGTGCCGGTTCTCGGCATGTGCTCTCGAGTGGTGCACCTGGGAGAGGGGAATGCAGCATCGCATTTATGCCCTAATTAATTAATGAACATGGGCTGTAAGCCTCGCACCGGTATCACTAAAGGAAAGTTACATTCACCTGAGACAATGCTTAATCCAAGGGAGGGAAGGACACGCTCTTGCTTACTGATGACCCGTACGTGTGTTTGACAAGGGAGCGGAGGGAGGGGGTGAAAGCACTGTTAAAGAGCTCAGCCTCTCCTCACTGTGGCTTAAATGAAACTGTGAGCTGATTCCACCTGTCCCGGAATACGTGCCTAGCTTTGCTTCCTTTCCTCTCTCCGCAGCCCGGGATGAAGCAGAGGGTAGGCTGGCGGATGGCAAAACCCTCCCGGCCCTTTATGCTCCCTCCCCTGAGGTCCCAAATCAAGAGTGAAGTTCTTCCTACCTGGTAGAGCTCAGTGGCGGTACAGTGAGTGGCCAAGGTCTTTACAGGCTCAAGGTCATCTTCATCACTGCTCAGCTTCAGGTCGTCCTCAAGCATCCTACAAAAAAAGCAGGGTGATGTTCATGTTAGAAAGTGTCTTTTCGAAATCATCCTCAGATACATCTTGCAATGAGGATAAAATATTGGAGCTACAATCTGACAGCTGCAATTCTGTCAAAGGTGCAGAGGGAACCAAGATTCTTTCAGCTAATTAGATATTTGAGCACTTATATTTATGTCATACTCTGCACACATCTTCCCTCTCTACCTTCCCCTAAATCAAGGGGAAGAAAAGGACTATTTCAGCATCTCTAGAGATGACTAGAGTCTATATATTTTTATTACTGAAAGTGTAATAAATGTACTGATCAATCACTGTGGAGTGGAACGTGACACTAGATCTCTACAGGAAAACATGTTCTCTGTCTCCCATGAAAGAATCGGGCCAGGGTAACAGCCCCAAGCTCGAGAGGCTGTTGTCGTAGCCTGCTGGGGCTCTCTGGATGACAGAGGCAGAAGGCCCAGTGACCTTCTACTGCCTCACAGAACCCTCTGCACCGTGGCAGCTCTGTGGCCACAATATACCTGAGTGAGAAATGGTTAGTTCTTAACCTTTTGATATATGACCGATTGCTTCCTGTAAAATTTGATCCAAGAGATGTAAGCCCCTGATGTGGATGAGAAATCTTTCTCTCCTAAGGCAAGGTACTTGAAAAATATGTGTTTTCTACGGTGTCACCTGTTCTATCCCCAAACTCAAGCTACACCAGGAAGAGTGACTTATCTTAAAATTCCAGATACTCACAGCCTTCAAAGGCCAATCGGTGTTAGTATTTCTATGTATTCAGGACAACTTTAGACCTCGTTCCCAGCCTTCAAACGGAAGGCAGTCCCAGCCTCCCTGGACGGATGACCATTTTCTGAGCGTGCTTTGCTCTTTCTTGCTTCCAGATACCGAATCAGGCTCAGCTCCCAGGCTAGAATTTCCTTTTTCAACTCTGAAATTCCTATTTTGCTTCCATAGCTCAGCCAGATCCCACCTTCTCCACGAAAGCTTTCGAGAAAGAATCTCCACCTCCAAAAGTACAACTTTTCCTTCTTCCTCAGCCCCAGCTCCATCTGGATCACAGCACTGCCTTCTCCACTGAGTGTCCCCACACCAGTCCCTCACCCCTGCATGGGCTGCAGTTGCCACTAAGTCACTTCTGTCTCCCCGGAAATGATACAGTCCGCCACCCTCATTTTGCAGATAAGGGAAGAAAGATTCAGAGACGCCAAGTGCTTTGTGCCAGGTCACACAGATAGTTGGATCTTTTCCAGAAGGGAAGCCAGAAGACAAAAGGCAACTTCTAATTTGATAAATTAGGGAATACATTATTTTAGAAGTTATGTTCAAATGTTGGAAAGATGTTCAGTTCAGTATGGGTATCCACTCTTAAATCTCTGAAGAAGGCATGGCTCCCCCACTTTCATGCTCAGCCACCAGGATATGTTCCCTGAGGTCTGAAAACCAAAGACTGATATAAAGAATGATTGGTAGGAAGGATAGGTGTTAGAGTTGGTTTCAGATGAACTAAACTTGCAGGATTTATGACTGTCCTTCATGAGACTAATGGATGTTTTGAAGATCTTAGAGAATAAGACAAAATGTATCTTCCCATTTCTTTTGCAGTTATGGGCCAATGGCTGTGAACAAATAATTCTTCATAACACATTGTGGCAAATGAAGACTGTAGATTCTCATAAGCTACAGAACTCAGATATTTTTTAAAGATTTTATTTATTTATTTGGCAGACAGAAATCATAAGTAGGCAGAGAAGCAGACAGAGAGAGAGGAGGAAGCAGGTTCCCTGCTGAGCAGAGAGCCCGATGCGGGGCTCGATCCCAGGACTCTGGGATCATGACCTGAGCCGAAGGCAGAGGCTTTAACCCATTGAGCCACCCAGGCACCCCCAGATATTTTAAAACTACCTATGCTGGTCATAAAGTGTTTCATTTTCCATGTGTGTGTGTGTGTGTGTGTGTGTGTCTGTGTATCTCAATACAGGTAGGCAATGTCTACAGTTAATTTCCATAGAAGTGTTGAGCAAAACAAATTATCAACAATTCATTCCATTCAGAAGATCCATTTATGTGTCAGGAAAGTGCTAAGTATTTGACCAGAAGCTTGTAATTTGGACCCTATGAAGGAGGGACTATCATTAGCCCCATCTTCCAGACTGAAACACTGAGGCTTAGAGAGGCAAGGAACCTCTCATGATCACACAGCGAGGAAATCATGGAGGCCAACATGGAGCTCAGACCATCTCCAGCCAGAGCTCCAGAGTATATAATGTCTTCCCAGAAGGTGTAATTTACAAAGGATGGTATATTAAATACAATCAACAGCAACAACAAAAAAACCCACAAAACATATTGACATGGAGTCAAGATATTTGGATTCAACTGCTGGCTAATCATAAACTGCTATCTTGCGAAAATCATTTACTGTCTCTGAACCTCATTTGTATCTCTCGTGTGTTAAATGGGATGGTAATTAAGCTCATTGATGGGGTGGTGCCATAGTGGACATAATGTCAACTAAAGCAGGTGAAATGTTTTATGAAAGTGCAAAATGAAAGCAGGGTATCATAGGTTTGGAAATACGTCATCACAGTTAGAAATAATGTACACCATTAACACCACTAACAAATAATCACAAGCAAAGCCTTCGTGAGACTTTGTTCTCACCTTCATTTGCTGAACAGTCTGAAGGTAAGCTTCATGGTAACCCATGCTGACTCAGGCAATGTCTCACAAAGTCTCAAAGCTGAACACAGAAATGGGTTTATGGTCTTCAGACTACTCTTCAGTTACTTTACCCTTCAACCAACTCTATGTGATTCTAGCACGGAGATGAAAAGCCTTCCAATGTACAATTTTGGAAATAGGCAAACAATCTCCATAGCGATTGACATTAAACACCCCCCCAAGCAACAAGCTGGGTATGGATTTGGTTATTAATAAAGGCCAATTTGATGCATATATTCAAGTCCCGGTAAACACAAGTCAAGAAGTAACTAGGAAGGCAAACCACCATTCGTTATCTCTGGAGGTGTTAAGCATTCATTTCATTCTGCTCCTTCACTGACCTATTAAGCTTTATTCTTGAATATACATGTACTTGTTTGCCTTTCTCTCCATAGCTAATACTGAACATTACTCTAGGGGAAGAGGAGGATTATGAAAGATTTTGGATTTAATTATTATAACAGCACCATTCACACCCACTGCAGTTAAGGTAGTCTCAGCAGAAAAAAATGCTAAGTTCTTTTCACGAGGTCACAGCTCCATAGACAAATTCATCACACACTGGGTAACCCACGGTGTGAGAAAATCATGTTTACATGTATGCATGTGTGTGTAATCTTAAAAAATGACAATCATTCTTCTGCTTTTCAAAGAGATGAAAACTGAACAAAGCCTCCTTAGTGACTTTAGATATTTGTTAGGGATCTCATAGTTCACGGTGCCTGTCTTTGCACGAAAATGCTCTGGTTTTTATTTTCACCACAACTTACAATTTCTATATTATTAAGAAGTAAAATGGCTCCCAAAACTATGTCAACAAAACCAAGTCATTGTCCTGAAGAGATGACCCTATAGAAGCTCAAATAATGAAATTTGGGGCAGATGAGAGAGAACGAGCAAAGAAAACACTTAAGGGGCCCAAGGGACAGAAGGGAGCATTGTGCCCATGGTCATCTCTTTTCCCAACTCTCTGGGTCTTGAACTGAACCTGGTGACTTCAGAGGGCTCTTTGCACTGGGACAACCCAGGACACGATGCTGCAGCAGGCCCTATGTGAATTATAACCATAAAATCATATAGTGGAATGCTCAGGTGATTCTGAAGAGGGAAAAAACAGAAGGCTTGAAACATTACTATAGATGGTTTTATGGCAATGGAGCCTTTAGTTGGGTTTACTCTCTTCAACTAGTTAGTCCAACTCTTCGAATCTCAATTTTCTCACATATTAAAATGAGGGACAATAATATGTTACTCTGGAGAGTTTGGGAGGGATCAGAAAAAGCAAATTTGTACAGATTTCCTAGGAGTCAGCATATGTAGCTACTGTTGGCATCCTGGTCATTATTGCTGTTGCTGTCATTATTACTACTCAAGAAACAGTGTTTTACAGGTTGGAACAATAACACAAAAGGCTCTGTTGGTGACCCAAACACTGGCAGAGGAACCAATGAGCAAGCATCACTGGATGTCTGATGAAGCATGGTTCAAAAGATCCTTAAAGAGTTTGGAAAGTTTCAGTGCTCATTTATTCTTCAAGAATGTTCTAAACTCATCATGGCTGTTTTGAGTTTCCTGAGATCCTCCCAGAGTGCTTAAGATGCCCCAGAGATTTGAAAGCCCATCATAACATGAAACACACAGTTCCAAGTGAGAGTTTAAAAAAAAAATGAGTGGTCCTGATACCTTTCTCCTTCTATCTGTGGGGTGACCTGCTGATCCAGAGAAATGAGCCAAAGATGGCCTGCACTGGAAGGAGGGGTTGCCATTCTCAGGAGGCATTCCTAATATACACCTGGCTCTAACCTTTATATAAAAGGCAGGGCTTCAGAGGCTGTTAGTTGATTCAGAATCCTTGCTCAGAAGCAACCTTCAGAGCCCTAAATGTGTATGTTGAAAGCCTATAGAGTGCCTTTTCACGATAACAAAATGGTGTCCCTCTGGGCAGCCAGATCGTCACATGCATCACTTGATATGGGCTGGATTCCAGCTTTCAAGTATCCACGGAAAGAGCTGCAATGCTGGTGACCTACAGTCTGACAGACCCTGACTCCTACAGTTGGAAGTGCCTGGAAGGGTTATCGATTTTACCTTGTCACCCAGTGGAGCTATCCACAACATCCTCAACACATGGCCAGAAGCCATTGTCTGAAGGGTAGCAGGCCATGCCCTTCTATTGTTCAGGAGCTTTAAATGTTGGAGAGTTCTGCCACTTGGGAATTGCCCTGTGCTTTCTCGGAGCTTCCATGAGGGAGCCTGAGTCTTATTCT